TATTTTAGGCAATATGGTTACAACTGGCTTTAATTAAAGCTCACAAATTACTCGCAGAAAATTCGTTTACATTCTCTTTTTTTTTAATGGCCTTTTTTGTATTTATTGTTTTGTTTTAATAGATTTTTAATAGCAGTTGTAAACAAAGCGCTATTGGTATGTGTGTCCTCTTTAGATATTTACTGAGACCCACCACCACCACCACCACCATCATTCACACGCCATCAGAGTCTACACGTCGTGGAAGTCGAAAAATTCAACATTTCCCAACCTAATCAATCTAGCCCTCATCATCGATCTTCAACTCTGCCCAGAAGAGTTCGCAACAACAAAAATCAATGATTTCGTGCCACCAAAGAGGTTCATAATTTTGGTGGGGGTTTTCCGGGGGCAAACGGCGCTAGACAATAACTAATCTTCTCCCATATTCCGAACATGAACTCTTTGTCTCCTATATACTAAGTTTGTGCTTTTATCTTAGATAGAACTAGCTTTCATTGAACGCCGAAAATATCAAACGGACACGTGTCCGTTACGTCGAAATGTGTAAATTTATACAGAGAATCGTATATATATTATATATATATATATATATATATATATATGTACCCATTTTAGATTTTTTTTTTGGGGTCTTTACTGAAAATTTTGTCTGTCACAAGGTCATCGTATAGATTAAAGTTTCGAACATACATTCCCAAAAGTTAGCTATCTTAACGACTGCAAATTTCTTACAATCTGAGTACATACATACATATATTATTTTGGCGAAATTAACGGATTCTGACTAAGTGGAACGGCCAATTACCTCCGTTGGCTTATATTAATTAGGTTCAGTTATCTTGGCGTATCACTGTATCAGAGTCGCCCCAGCAGTCAAAGCTGCCCCCGGTTTACGATAATTATTTTATACGTTTCGCTTGTTTATGCAGGCCGACCATTTGGTAGGCAGAGAAAAACTACGCCTTAACGATGCTAACTACGGCACGCGACTCATGCCGCTCGCAGGCCTGGAGCAGTTCAAAAACAATTCGCTGTGTGAGCCGTCCAGATAATTTGCATACACGCAAAGATGCGTAACCTGTTTACGCCCTTCACCGAGACTGCGGCCAAGAGAGAAGCGGACCTTGCATTAATAAAAATCGATATTTGTTCATTTATTCTTGTTAGATTGAATACATGACCTTCACCGCATGTATTGCCATTACGGTTACACATTGATTTCCTTTGTTGATTGATAATCCTTTGTTGACGCGCACACAAAACAGTCATCAAAATTGTGTGGGAAAAAAATGGCCTGCGAATAGGTTTTTAAATGCAAGGACCGTTGTCTGCGATGGTACAGTAAATTAAAGAATTTCATTAGCGATGTCATCCACTGAGGCTGTGAAAACATAACGACGCTTTTCAGTGGATATTTTAATCATCCCGTTACCGTTTCTCTCGTAAATTATTCGAAATCCATGTTTAGGGTAAGACGTAACTTCAGTTAAGATTATCAAACCAGACAATTCCAATTCACTTAGGTAACTTCAGTAGAAGGCAGTGAGTATAATTGCATTTGTAAACATCGACACATCGATTTTAGCGAAGCGGGCTGTTGTGCAACATGTTCGATCTGTTTGTGATCTTTATTTTTTCGGAACCATTTTATATCCTGATTTGGTAGATTCATACAAACCAGGAAGGGGCATGCACCATTGCTGCTCTCGTCATGAAACGACTCTACAGTTTATAGAATCAATAGTTCTAATTAAACAAAAAAAAAAAAAAGAAACATTCACTTACGTAATTATAGTCAGATGATCTCTAACTTTTACCTTTGACTTGCGAAACGTTGATTTTTAAACGAGCGAAAAAAGTTGAATTGCAGCTGTTTTAATATAGCACATCGTCTTACTATAGCCCTTTCGATTAGAGTGGATTTCTCTACATTTATATATATTTATATTACCACACTATGTTGACTTCCGTTACTCTAATACTTTGCAAGTTCCTGTAGTTCTCTTTGTAGGCACGGAGACAAACTATGACATGAGGCGAAACCTTACGCAATTTAGGACGACAGCCTTCAAACGGAGTTCTATAAATAGGAAACACGTTAGAGGGACAACGGTGATAGTAGTTTGCTAAGTAAAAATATGGAACTGTCTTCAACGTAGTTTTTGTACTATCATTCATATATAGCATCTAAACGATATGCTATAGGTTGAAGCCGAAATTTTTAACTCCATCATACCCCTCCTGTTTCGGATTGACTCAAGCTTGTGCATCCAATATCTAAAGCAAATGATTATTAAGCAGTTATTATGACCATCTATATATTTGTCCCTCGCGGCCTATTCGACAAATCGGTGGCCTCCATGAGAGACTTTGCCGAAAACGTTCATTTTAACCTACGCTATTGAATAAATCTATGCATTAACCACGGTGCACGTATCGTGTTTGATCATATAAAAAACGATCGTGCATTGTAGGCAAGATGGTACCACTATACAAGACAATCCATAATCAGCGACATATTCTACGATGGGACTCGCATAGACTTCCAAATACAGACACAAAAGAAGAAAGACCGGGCGACAAGGAATCAACTGCACAGCTGAATTTCCATTCCTTCTCACGTTGTAAAACCTCCCTTCGCCGAGTAGCTTCATTAGATCCTTTGCCACCATTTGCTATCAAGGACTTCTTAGGGCCAGTGGGGTACAATCCTTTCTTTCCGTTTCTCAACTCTGTTATACACGGCTAAGCTCATACGTCGACCCCAGTTGCCTACTGAGTTAGTTTGAATAAACAGAAGATGTATTTTGGTCTGTCAGTGACTGTCACCGTTCGTTAGTGCCTAGGACCGCGTGACTTTTAGCTGGCCTAAAAAAATAAAACTAGAATTGCACGCGATATAGATTAGATTATGTTCGCTTCCTTTATTCCGACCATTTCTATAGAAAAGGTACGCACTCGGCGATGGCGCAAGAAGGCACTGTGGCAGAGTTCGTCGTCGGTGACAGAAATAGATGTGTACAAAAACAATCTTACATGCCCTTCTTGTGGGGCCCTTCTTGATTATGATCGTTGTGTCACAAGGGCTATTCACTGCTATGAAGAGAACAAATTCTGAATCATAGCGCTCATTATAGCAATGTTATTAATTGTAACATCCAAAATGCTATGTTTGTTTTGCTTTGCTATCACACAAGTTGCGAGTATCGTTCCTTCATACCCGCCAAAGCTTTGCTTCGCTCTAGAAGAAGTTTAACGCAGTGGAAAAACCAACATTCATTACTGCAATTAAAAAAATTAAATTTTACCTAAAAAAAGCTCACCGAAACAGTGGAGCTATATAGTATAGCAATACTTTATTTATAATTAGGGCGGGTATCGCTTTTTGCTAACCAGCTTCCCGTATTAGCGGTCGATTTGATCCTTTACAAAGCGTTTGGATAAATTCATACATTTAAACGTCATGAATAACTTTAGCTTTTATTATGAAAGCAATAACTTTTTTTAATTAATTAATAAAATTATTAGTAGCAATTTAAATCGATACGTAAACAATGTCAGTAGATTTATCACTGACGACAGCATTTCATGACATTATCGAAAGAAGACCTAAAACTAATATTCTTCATGTCTTACTTTGATTGTCATTTTTTTGTATCGTTGATTTAAACTTCAGTTTAGAATCTAAAGGCTTCCTGTGTCTCTATTGATAACACTGTGTACGATAGTAGAGATTATCATGCCGGCACCTCTTTCGCTGAGATGATAGCTTGGCTAGAAAAAAACGGTAAATACATTTCTATGCAGTGTGTGGGCTTTGTTCCTAGAACTCCCAGCCACACTCGTTCCTGATGAATGGTCGCCAGGTTCAAAAAAAAAACAACCGAGAAAAGAACATTGGCCTTTACGTTGCGTTGCTGCCGGTGCAAATCTGATCAAAAGACGTAAAAGCGGCACGCTCGATCCATTATTAGTCTAGTTGACGTTGTAGTTGTTATGTCCTACCTAAGCCTCCGCACGTAATTCCAGACTCGGAATATCGAATTCCTTAATCGTATATTGGCTAGGACCCTCGTAAAATTGATACTTGATGTCAATTAACCCCAAATTACTCTGTTTCAGCAGGCACATACAGGTTGTCCATACATTCGAATAAAAACATCGTTGTATCATGTTGTTTAGATATTTCCACAAAACGTGAATCATGGTTGGGAGCACAGCAAGGGTTGTACCCGTCAGATACGACTCGAATTTGGTTCGTTGAAAAAACGATGAAAATAAAAATACTCTATCAAATATATTATCTATGCTGTGAGATCAGTCAGTGGCGGTAAGTAAGCGTGATATATTCCTTCGTAGTATCCTGGACGCGTTAGTTTTTTTTCTACTAATTAAATTTGAAAGTTCCTTTATTTTCGAGTGGCTCTTCTAATGAATCACACCTCCCGGAAGTGTAAAAGACAGCCAATTATTAGCTTCTGCAAAATGTTTTGAGATTAATTGTGTTCGAGTATTGCGTATATGATACCGTGTCTGTGATCGTTAGATGAGAGTTTTTAGTTTTGACAAGCGGTTTTCATCCTAAATGTTTTTTTTTCTTTTTTGTTTTATTATTATATTCATTTGATCTACATCTAGCCCGTCAAAAATTCATAAGGACAGCTGTAATCTTAATTTAAAAATTATCTAGCTCCTGTACAGTGGCATATGATACCGTAGATTGCTTCATATACTCCTACAATGTAACTTCGGGGAGACTGATTTCAGCGGTAAGAGCCCTGCAAAATTCATTCAATGTGGATTTTGTTTTATTAGATATCAAAGCCATTCTACTTTCCATGCCATCGTTCCCCTACTATGAGCTTTACCCTCCTCATGCACCTATGTATTCTTCACCGACACCGCATAGCTCTCTACCGAGGCGAGGCCTCATCTTTAACGTGCGGCTTATACACTGACAAACACACGAATATTTGTTTTTTCGGTGTTATGCTTACTCTGAACGAATCCCTCCACGCGGCACATAAATACACCAAGCACGTATGAGTCATGAAAGTGCTTCACTAGATAAGTCCACATGCAGAACATTGCGATGAGTGCGTCCGCAAACGCCAGATTCGATAAATAGAAATTCACCGTCGTCCGCATCGATCGGTTGAGCAGCACCGTCAATACGACGCCCCAGTTACCCACCAATGAGGCTACGACAGTCACCACGTAGATGGCCACGCACCACAGGCCCATCCGCTCTTGCGCCATTTCCGAATCGGCTATACCATAGTAGCTCATATTATATTGTATATAAATTTCCTGTTCCTGCTCACGGCATTCGGACCAGTTCAGCTGTTGTCCAACAGCAGCAGCTCCGCTGGACGATATATGACCCATCTGCACTTCCGTAGGCTGCACTTCCATCGCGCCTTGCACTGTACGTTTTATATTATAAGTTCTGCTCGTCCTGGCTGGCTGACGACTAGAAAGAAATGATCAAGCTGAACTAATTATAAATGCCGCGCACGTCATAGAGAATGTGCGGTAAGTAGCCACCCACGTCAAGGAAGGTCTACACCTCTCCTTATCGCAGTGATGTTTGAAGCGATCAGACATCCCTCGTCCTTTTCTAAGGTGACTAAGTGCTGATTCATCGAACTAATTATAGGGCTACCAGCAAGAACCACAACAATGACAGTAGTAATTTAAGTAAGCACCAGCATGCTGCGGCCCTCGGTAGGTGGTAGCAACTTCTTCATCGCGCTTTCCTTTACTAGCCCGCCTCTTATTTTTTTCCTACGCGCTCCTCTCTCGCTCGCGCACATACGCTATCATTTACTTCAGATATCTCTTGGACCGTTTTTGCACGTTGTAAAAATTCCCCTACCGACACGACCACCCAACTCAATAGTTCCAAGACTCCGGAAGCCCCGCAAGGCCTTCCGAGGCACGGAAGCGCGTGGTAACTTGCTTTCAACTTTTCACAACGGCATCAACAGGAGAATGTATGTCAACATTAGAAACAACAATAACGACGAAAATTGCAAATACTCCAGAAACGTGAACACTTCCAAACCACGCACTCAGCAAAGATTTTTCTCAAAATAAAACCTCAGAAGAAACAAAAATAGCGGTCCTTCGCTGCTGATATTTCTTCGAACGGCGGTGACGGTGGCCAGCTGCAGTAAGTAAGTAATTGTAAGTGAGCACCTTCTTACGTATTTAAGTATCTTTTAGCAAAGCTACGGTGTGACGCACCGCTATCTGTACGAGCGACGCCTTTCTTTGTCTTTATTTGTCAAGCTTGAAGCGTTCGATTTGATTTTTTACGGTTTCACTTCTTTCTTTCTTTCTTGTTTTTTTTTTTTATTTTTTCTTTCTTTCTATTTACTCGTACTCATAACCGTGTACGTCTTGGCATATCGCCGTCGGTACGCTGGACCTCTGATACTGACTGTACCGGCAAAGTAATGCAGAGCAGTTGAATGTTGTCGCATGTCATTTTTATAGATTCGGTTGGCGACACGATTTCTCGTAAGCGTGATTGTCAGAGTTTCGTTAAGACAGCGCCAATTTGACAAACACTAGCGAATTGGGGAGTGAGACGAGCGCATGCTCAAGAACAGAAGCATGGCGGGAAAACGCATGCTTCCGATATCGACACGTGACATATCAAAATCATCGTCGTCATAGGCGATTTTTAAAGAGTTAAAACGATGAGCAGTTAGACTTCGTTTTCGATACTGGGTTTACTCGCTTCTTGTTGGCCAGGCACGCCAACGGCAAATTGGTGGCTCAGAGAACAGAACCGGTTAGCCATACAGGAGAGGGTAACACGTCCCTTCCCCAGTAACGGCATCGGGAGTCCTCGCTCTGGTGGGTAGTGGAACCTATACGACAGAGGGCCATTCATGCTGCTCGGAGCGTGAATGGCCAGGAAGCAAGAAAGGACAAGCCTTGGTTTTCGTTGCAGAGAAGACGGCCACGAGAGCCTTCACATCGAATGCGGAAAGTACGCGCTTGGCAAGCGGTTCAGAGATAAAAGTTAAATCGTAACAAAAGTATAGACAAATATTTGTATACAGAAACTTGATGTTGACGTTACATAGATACATGATATATATACATGTATATCTATATATATGGAATGGCAGAAGTGTACACTTGCCGGGTATCGTTTTTGAGAATGTTACCCGAAAGAGAACCTGATTTTTAGAGGACCATATCAATAATCTCTCATAAGATTATTTCGATGTTATGGTTGTTGCATCATCTTTGTTTGCGGTAGTGTGCTTATGGACAAAACTGTTCCTTGGAGCATTGTTTTACGCCATCAGAGCTATTAGTTTTAGAGTATTAGCTAGAGTATTTGAGTTTGTATATATCTTTGAATTTGTACTCACTTAAAATGGAAAGACGAATCAATACTTGCTTCCCAAGTACAACGTCGGCTTGCAAGTTAACTTTAAAATGAAACGTCAATTACGTAGTTATGTTTAGCTGTAGAGGAGCAGCCGTTTGCCTTTGCCTAAACTCATTTAAAGTAATTTATCTTTGTCATCACTATCATTACATAAGCTAATGTGTGATATATATATATATATATATATATATATATATATATATATATGAAAAGTGAACAGAATCGTCAATAATCATATATATTTTTAAAAACAGAATACATATCATAGGCATATAAAGCAATGACTACAACTTGATAAGAGTCAGTGACACCCCAAGAGGTCATCCGCATTAATCACAAAAGTCAATGAGGCTCAGCAGTACACCATCAGCTTAAATCATTCTGGCCACGTTGACCGCAATAGGTACCCCCGAAAATAGCCAAATATTCACTGGATCCGACGAAAGACTCCTCGAAGATCTTAATGGAAGTGGCCAGAAAACCCGGAGTTTAATCGAGTCATGTTGACAGGAAACAGGTAAATAGATGGACTTCTACGAAATATCTGCTCTTCTACTAGGTCGACCACAGACGGTATCATGCTGCCTCAGAGATAACACAAACTACTTGATGAGGCTGTCAGCATTAATTCCACACTCCAAATAGTCAAGCCAGGCATGTTACCAGCCATTTTACCACGAACTAATTCACGGCCTTAATTTTGGTAAAATTTAAGACCAATGGTGCGTACGAGTGACGTCGAGATTTTTGATAGTTATGTTGGTCGTCGGATCAAACGATATTCTCCTCTAGCCATGACAGTAGGAAAAGTCTGAGCCGCACAGTCCGGCAGGCGACCTTGCGGGCGTAAGGACGTCGGAGTGTGCTTCGCTGACTGCTCCATCTTTGGTTCAGTGGAATGTCCGCCTCGCAGGACCTCCACATCAAACAGACCCATTTTCCAATGAGTGGTGAGACGTAAAAGGCAACCCTTCTCCGACCGATTATGTTTGATCAAGCTGACCGCTGCAAGAATCTAGCCATCAGCCGATGCATAGGTCGATGGCCATATATTCTGTAGCCGTCCATTCAGCCGAAACTCGCAGATTAGTAAACAATCTCACACCTACGGTGGGACAGGTAGCGCTTTCTCCATTCTGTGAAGCTTTTCTAGAGCCTATTTTGCGCAAGCAAAAACGGAGGACAATGTTGGGCGTGTTCAAGTTCAGCTAATTTCCTCGTAACTTATCTTATGCTTCAACACCGCAGGGAATTCCCTTATCTATATAGAATGATGCTGCTTCAAAATTAACCCAAAGGGTCACTGGATGTCATGTGAAAACCTTTAGGAGCGAAAAGCTACCAGAACCGATTTGAGTTTATCCACACCGGTGCTTTAAAGTGGGCAGAACCAATTGTTCCTCCAGCTCGTTGATAGGCATCGCTATATTGCTATTTAAAATATAAGGGTTAGTGGATCACGGGTATTTTCAAACGGTATCAGAGCAACTGATACTTTGTTTGCTCTAGGAGGGGCATTCAGACAGCTTTACTTGTATTAACTGAGGTTTACTTATAGGTCATTTCGGGCACACAGGACTGTAGCCAGGACCAACTATTATCGGTTCGTTTTCCACTGCCTTGCGGTTGGTGTCCAGGTCCACAATAGGTTTATAGCAATAATATTTCGGTATATATTATTGCTATAAACTTAGATCCTGGTTTATCTGAAGGGGTAAATTCGACATCGATACATAAATGAAACAAAGTGAAAGGTATGAGCCCCCTGGTGGCAAGACTTCATTCTACTGGAAAGATGAGCAATAAGGCAAGTCTCAATGCATACGCAGGATTTGCCAAACAAAAGACGATATCGGTGCAAGCTCTGTGCGCAACCAAGGCCATCGTTGTACGCATTCGTAATAACACCCAAGTACTACAAAGATGGCGCGATATTGCAAAATAAACTCGCTGAATAACGATACCAGTAGATGAAGCAGGGTTCCACCCTCAACAACGTTACGAATAGGAACAGCATAGGGATGGCGGAACGGTTTCTTTGCTGCTGCTGCGCTATTTCTATCGACCGCTTTTCACAATTTAGCCCACCGACTCTTTTTATATAGTCATGCCGACCGGCATGGTAAAAACAACCAACACTTAGAGAAGATACTGTGTTTATAATTAAATGTGAACTCTCGAAATTAGAACGTTAAATTATAGGGAAAATTTGCAGTTGACCGCCAGTGACATACTTAGTGGTAAACGAACCTGCTCATATGGGCATGCGTCTACCCCCTATAGGTACGATAAGCTCCAACCAAATGTTACACAGACTTTACAAGTAAATTCATTCAGTCCATTGTTTGCTTTCAGCGATGACAGCAGTTGCATCACACAACACACTTAGCCCACTGTGGACTCTAAATACAGTTCGCCTACCTCCGATATCAAAGGCTAATGGTACCTTCTCTTTGAAAAAACAATACTGCAGGCTTATCAGTCAACCTCGATTCCCTGTATTGACGTCTAGCATTTAGGACAAAGTCTATTATACGAAAAGGATTTTACAAAGCCTTGTTGTGCATTTAGTAGTAATATGAGTAGCGCATTAATGGGCGATGCAATACATCTCCATAAATGGAATATAGACAAGCTTTTTTCATAACCTAGGTTAAAAACGTGTATATATTTTTTGCCTGATTATGTCTGCGCGTTGACTCCTCTATCGGTGACCGGGTTGCTTTGTCAGAAATCGGAGTACAATTTTTTTTATTCCTGGATTCCGTTGAGCGTACCCCAATCAAGATCTATCCGCATGTATCTAGCTATGGTGTAGAGCGTAACGTTGAAGTATTTATTTTTTTTTTTTAACGTAAATCACACTGCAATTAGCGTATATTTTTGCATATTTACATAACCAGACTCTAAGTAAATGTTGCTACCTAAGGATCCTTCTTAGGTAGCAACATCGATCGGAAGTCAGTTCTAACTTCCGATCGAGGTAGGTTTTTTTTCACGTGACAAAATCGATCCTATGAAATACATCACAATGCTATAAGGAAATATAAAATCTTGACGTTAATGTCAACCAGGTAACTTCAGCTGAGGGTCGATTATTTCGAAGAATACTATCTATAACTATTCCGCTATATAGATCCACGCCTATACCGTTTGCGTAGCTCAAGAGACAAAAAGGTTCCCGTTGCGACCGTTTAAGACCAATGGAAAAAGTACCATTGACAAATGTACAGCGCAGTATAAAACCGCATGGTGTATATCAAAGGCATATATTAAAGTTCACAAGTAAACTAACATTTGTCCGATAAAGTCCCATTCCAAGAGGCGCAATCAATACCAAGAGGCGTGACCGAACATATGGCTCTCGTTTACAAAGCCATCTCTCCCCCCTAAACTATCTCCACGAGTCAAGCATTGCATCGAGCGAACAAAAAGGACTTGGTTCAGTATACTGTCATAGATACTATTTGATAGCTTTATCGAAGTTCCTCTCCTAGAAAGGTAAGACGTACGACAACAGGTGTTAGAAGTTTGCTTTATTTAAAATTGAGCTAGTCTCCTGTCGACTGCTGATGTTTAGGTAGATCAGTTGAACGCAGTGCACAGTGGCGACGCTATGTGTCGGCGAGCAGGACACAAAGTCGGAGCTGACGCTTAAGAAGTCGATTCTATGACATTGAAAAATCCCAAGAGTTAGTTAGAGCTGTACCTCTGTGGCACCTATAGTAGATGGAAAGTAAGGGCAAATTAGTGGAATCGTGCCGTGTAGTTAAGTTTTGGAAAGCATTTCAACATGTTTTTTCCTCACCTCGAGGCGTACATCTGGGGGTAGTATCTCATCTACGCTGTGTCTTTATTCAATGGATTTGAATTGAAAATGGTGCCGTTGCTTAAATTTCGGCCGCAGAGCGCAGTTCAACACTTCGCGACATAACGCCTTGAATACGCGTGTGTCTAACCTATAGAAGGACAATATCGTCCCTATATGGGCAATATCGGCAGCATTGACTCTAGCTTGGGATCTTGATCGAAGCTTGTCAACTATTGAGGAGCATATTCCTAGCCGAAGTGACGTTATCCGCGTCTAAACGAAGCATCATTACTAGGTCAAAAAGCTTTGCTCAGATTGACGCTGCGGTTCTTTCGTGTACTCGAGTTCACGTTCGACGATTTTGCCTGACGATTGCCTCGCTAGTTGTGGCTCCACAACTACAAAAGGAGAAAATGTTTTTCTTACACGTGGTACAATGCCCCTGTGTGCGAAATTATTTCGCGCCGCTTATGGCAGTATTCAGGTGTGAGAGCTAGTTCTAGCACGAGACGTGACAGTATATCGAAGGACCCTAATCGAAATACTACATGAAGAACCTTGGCTACCTCGTAGCTATCTAATATTTATTTAAATCCTCGAAAAAACCCATCGTTTCCATCCTACAGATCTAGCACGCTTTGTAAGGATTGTCGCAGAATGTCTGCACGTAGGTGAAATAAAAATCGCTAAAGACTGCCAAGTGATTGCCTGTAAGGCAATGCCCTCTTGGTCCTAGTTGAAATCGCGGCAGGTTGCACGAGGGGCCAGTTGAAGAAAGCCTGCGTAGCTGCATAGCATCGACTGTTTTTAAATTATGAAAAAGATAAAGGGTTACTACCAATAAGGAGCATGACCAAATGCATGCAAACGATCGAAGACGTGGGTAAGCCTGCAAATGCTAATAAATGAGAAAGTAAATAAATTAAAGTAATATGTAATAAATATAATATACATGCGGGTTTATAAGAGTTCTGATATGTGCGGTAAGCGAAGCATTTCTATAGAAATTGCATTTAACTAAAAAGTACAGCGCTATCATAAACATAGGTGTAAGGTACAAGATAGTGTAAACATTTCGATGTAACGAAGTACGAGTATTTATCTTAAACTCGTTGACTGTATACTACTGAAGTCGATTGCCGTACGTTGGTGCTGCGGCAATTGTTGTACATCCGCCTGTAGGCGTACCTGCAAGCTTTTGGTTGTGCTACTATTAGATAGAATCAATTCTAAATTAGTCTAACAAGGTTCAATGGCTGAGACCCTGTAGTACAATACGCACACCATAGCAGTAAACATTGGTCTACATTACGATTTTTCAACATAAAGATACAAAATGGTCTTTTTTTGGTATTTGTGGTATTTTTTTAGCACCATCCAAAATCGATGTGTGTTTGATTTGTACGAGTTACGTCGCGTCTGAAAATGTTTGACCTAACTCAAATACGAAAAAGTGAAACCCCAAGCGAACTTCAGCATGGATACAGGCCAAAAAACTAGAGCCCGTTGGCTTATTTGGTCGCCTAAAGTGACCTAGACGATGACGGCGAGTTCGATTGTTATTGCATGGAGATGGCCTGTAGAAATAAATCGCATCAAAACAACGAAGTACTGCGGCGCACGCTAAGAGGTGAGTTAGACGCTCGCCAGATGAATGGCCGATCACGCTCATCCTATAGGGTATTATCTAACTGAATCACTTTAAATGTCTTAGTGGGTAATGCTTTGATAAGCGATAACAATCGTTAATCGTTATCATAGCGTATAGCTGTTTCGTGTTATTGGCAAAATGAAAAGTTTTTTTCATCGGTCCGCTGTCCACAGTCTCCCGCGAGACCTGTGGCTCGAAACACGGCTGGCTAACTATCTATTGATAAACAGATTTTGCCAAGGGGTTGTTCGCTTATTTGGCTATGGTGCAGTGATGCAGTCGCGCTTAAATCCATCAGGCGATAATTAGCTACGATAGTGACGAGACTCGTGTTGTAAGGTGGTTCTCAATAGGGCGGCAATTCAAATCGGGACGTCGAACAAACGAGATTTTAAGCTGACAAACTAATTAGAAACATCCCCACAGGCATTTTATAGAAATCTTTTTATTCGTGTGTCATTCAAAGGTCTGAAGAAGTGGACAACGAGATAATTATCCGAAATCTACGAAAGGCACAGGCGCAAACGACACGTAGAAAATTTTAAGCTATAAAAACTACCTTAATAACGAAATGAAATTGCGGGCAAAGGGTCACAGATATGTTAACGTTCGAACGATACACGAGGCAGATATATAAACTAACCGACGACATGCAGAAGAATAGTATCAGTACGTCAGCAGGACTTGAACCAAAGGGTGTGTACCATCGTTGCATAACATTAGTTGAAGTAGAAATCGACGATTCAAAGACAATGTGTCGACCTGCTAGAACGACCTGTTAACCTTGGAACACCTTTGCTTTCAAACTTAGCGCAAAAAGAACAATCATCCAGTGCCGCACGAATAAAAATTTGCAATATTTTTGTTTGTAGTAGCTGGCTTATGGCAGCCATGTATAGGCAAGCAAAATGCGAAATATTTAAAACTAAAAAAAACGACGACGAGAACAAGCACATCCAGCTACATTGTGATTTGATTACACATTTGGACTCCTAAAACTATTTCTACATGTATTAAAAAATCTTTTTTGAATCATTTCTTCACTCTGTTATGGTCGTATTATAACACAAAACATCGGCCATGATCCATTACCAGCATGTGAGGGCATGGTTCCTTCGAACATAACGAAAACATGTATTATTTCTACTTTTTGTGAGCTCAGAAGCAACAATGTGTTTGTAGGTGGCCGACGTTTAGTATAGACATACCTATTTTTTTAGATCCATTTGAGATGTACCAACAGATATTTTAATAGACGGCTTGTTTGCTTGGGTCCGGAAGTAATTACTGTTTTTGATAAATTTTAATACACTTATCGTAGCTTAAAGTTGATAGTGTATATATATATATATATATATATATATATATATATATATATATATATAAGCGTTCAACGATCACGCAAGACAATGAAAATTTAACAAAAAAAAGTTTTTTTTCTTTTTTTTTTAATGCAAGTGCAGATACTACAAGTTAACATCAAATTGTGAGGCAAATAACTTTATCGACCCCTGCAGGTATAAACTATGAAATTTGGATGAGACCGCAGCGGGCTTCTTGTACTTACAGCATCAATTAAAATGAACTCTTTAGGAAAACAAACGCAAACCAAAGACAAGCAATTCCTCATATTCCACGAAAACTGCAAAAATCCTATATATACAGCGTATCGTCAGGCTCTTCTGCCCTATGTCGATACTCTAACGTCTGCTACCCGAATTTCGTGTCACTTACCATTTCCGTCGATGTGAATTGAATGACGGGATAGCATAGAAAGTCCGGCTTGGAGCCTATAATTGTACCCAAGTTACTGGTTATCTTGCAATGTGCGTACAAACCAAAGCGAGCCCGTACGTTTATGAGTTACATATATGAAAAAAAAGCAATTTTAAAGAATTACAAATGGCATTCGATACATACAACCACAATGTGGCATGATGAAGGCAATCTAGCAGTAGGCGGCTTCACAAAGTGTTTATCAATGGGCGGCCGCTAACAAGCATAACGAACATTTTTTTTTACCCTGCTCCGCTTGCGGTGTCCCTGTGTAAACGTTATTGACATTTGCCTTGACATTAGTGACGTCATTATCCGCCCACGAGGCCTGCGCGGGGTCTCTAGTGAGCCTCGAGGGGAGGAATTGTCCACAGCTGCAATAAACACAGAAATATTACTATGCGTATGTACATGTGACCTATTAATCAATCAAGGCTCTTAGTGTTCCGTGTCCTGTTTTTTGAGGTTAAACGTCCACCCCATATCAGCAAGCACGCATAACTTATCGCTGAAGATAATCGTTGAGCCTCCATCAATAGAATCATCTGTGATATGGTCGAACTGCATCCCCCAAGGCTGAGCCCCTTCTGAGATCCAGTAATCCTATCGTGACCACGTGCGAAGTCATCCGTTCCACTGTCGTTCACGACTCTCACCACGGTAAGGAATTTACTAGTACTTGGTTTACATAGGTTGGAAAATCCGCTGTTGTGTTGCGAAATCCGTCTACAAAGTAGCAATAAGCGACGATACCCGGGCGGACGGCAGGCCGTAAAGTCATTTGCTGGTTGACAAATGCCATTTTTAGGGGAGACAGCAAATGCTCGAAAGCTCGTGGCCTAACGAAGAGACGGATGACGATAATAGATGCGCGCAACTCAACGAAATGGAACATTGCAGCAAGAAAAGCGTTCGGCTTATAGCATTCGGTAACTTGGCGGAACTGCTTAGTGAATTTGGGGCCTGAAACAAAGCATCGCCACGATGGTTACCCGGAAAGAGCGTAGGGAGAAAATAAAAAAGATGATAAACGTTTTTGGCATCTTTTTCCGGTTGAAGACGTTATTTAAACAAGAGTAATCAGATTTGTGGCACTTAAAGGCCAGTGTTTATTTACAACGTCGACTCATTTACTTAACATAATAATAGGACATTGATAGCAGTCAGATGAACGTAAAACTACGCTAAAATAGGTATAATTACAATGAATATATCTTATTTAAATTCTACATTTTGGGAGACAAAAAACGAAGTCAGTAAGTGTTAAGCTTGAAGAGCTCAATGTTTGCTTGAGTCCCTGAACGTCGATGCTGCAGTCCTTCTAAAAATGAATAATTTTTCTGTCCCGAAAGCAGAGTTAATAGAAACGTGACATAATGGTTGGGGTAATTGAAACCGTATTGCCTTTGAAGTGTCTCTCTATATTCACTGATTGCGCGCAATATCAGCGTTCTGTGTACGACTATATAAATCTGTCAATTTTCAACGCGGTCGCAGTAATGCGCCGTATAAAAGGATTTCTGCAAGTAATTCTATGGGCAGCGGACGGTATACAAACATGCGTGCTAAATTTGGTTCTGAAATTATTCTAGGTTAGGGAAATGTCATAATCACGAACAGGGTACCGATGAACGAGACGCAAATTAGTTGAGACGTACGTACACTGCCCACATTACAAAAGCGACGCATCTAACTGGCCCGGCAATTTATGCTCTATTTTGAAAACAACTTCGTGACAAATCGGATTAGTAGAAACTTATAGGGTAATACTGCTCTTTGCAAAGCTGTAACATATGGATACCGTCAAACGATCTTATAGATACAGGTAGTGTCAATCTGCTATGTACCATAATTACTCTACGTGCTATATAAGCACTATATTCGTAAACATTTTTATACTTAGTGTAAGTAGCTCTACATTAGACTATCGGCTACCGAAGATCGTTACGTTATTTGAAACGATACCTTACCTAAGGACGAAGCACAGGCGCAAACTATTTCACTGAATCCATAAGTTACGTCAATTGACAATGCCTGCCCAGAGATTAGCACATCAATAACGTAAGTCGTTGCTACGTACACTCAAGTTAGGACAGCATGTCCCGTACTTAAAGAGAAAATTGTTTTGTATCCGGAACGCGATTGTAACTAAAGAAAAACTACTCAGATGTAACACATATGGGCAAACCGTAGCCTGCAAACCGGACCGTTCTACACGAAAACACCTTTAAAAATTCGACGATGACATACCTATTTATATATGGATATACTATATTTAGTCATATTTCAAACTGGATTTTATTGATATATCAAACTATGATCAACGATTCCGTTCAATCATCAATCTACAATTAGAATAAATAATCGAATTAAGCTGAAAGAAGAAACAACGTGAACACAGCTGAGCTCTAAACTCATAGACTTGTATTATATTAAGGAAAAAAAAATCGAATATACAGCTTTTTTTTTTTTTTTATAAAACGAAAGGGGAACAATCAAAATCACGGGACAACTATAGCGAAAACACGAGCGGATTGACCGAACTGTGCACAGTCTGAAGTTTACCAACAAATACGAAGCGCCAGTTGCAAATTAGCAAAGGAAGGAATCACACGAAAAAAGCGGTAGGCAGAAATTACTTAGCGTTGATTCATAGTAGCAAGAAAATGATGTCGTAACTGCCCGTGACGCGGTGCAATGACGTTGAAGCAATGATAATAAAATTGGATTATAGCCTTCACTCTGGTCGGGTGCCAAAGGAGGCCTGGAACCTGAATGTTACATTGCTCGCCGCATTATCACACAGCTAAATTGCTCACTATATTACATAAGCTATGACTATAGATATCGAAAACATCGACACTCTTAAAGTAAATAACATTCATAGGACCTTGTATATAAAAAGAAAACAAAGATGTCTAAGAGACCATCTCAACAGCGGACAGATTGAAGTGCTATTTACGATCCGCAACAGAGCAACGAGCGAATAATTCAAAAGATTTTCGCTAGATATCTAACAGTGAGAATATAGCGCATTCTAGCTCGCTCGGGAGGAAGTCGAACCCATTAGCAAAACACGGAACAAACACACAGATCGGTGGGTTGCTAGATTAAACCTATACCGTTGACCTTCTAGACGGATCCGTTACTGCTATGACGGACGTATGTATGAGGGAATCTATCACTGTACTACAGAAATCGGCACGTGTTTCTACGTACGGCAGTTTTCAAATAGGTTTGGTTGTGCCTTTTTGAAGTCCAACATACTATTGCCTTGTAGAGCTTAATCGTCGATAACGAATTATCCAGCAAATGGTCTGTATGCAACCTTTCAGGCAATTATATCACGCTTCGTCACGCCGCTGAGAAAACACTACACAATCGTAGACGAACGCGACCTTTTTATATGCATTCATTTATATATTGTTACACTGTTACTGTGATACATGTCACTAGGTTTCATAATGTCTGCAACCTGCTATACGACCTACGAGTCCTAATATACTAGGAGCTCTAGCAGAAAGAATAATCAGGATAGGATGTCGATCTTATACTGAATTTAATACTTTTTTTCTGGCTGTGTGCACATAGTTAAACTGACGACGTCAGAGGCCAACCCTGGAAACGTCTTGCAGAGGATCAGCTCGTAAATAAGATTAGCTTTTCAGATGTGTTTGTCTAAGATTGGCTCAAACACTGGGCACCTTCTTAAAAACATGCCCCGTTGACCCTTAGTTTAGAATAGGAACAAGAGTGATAAAAGCTATAGGCAATCTAATAGAATGAATTTTGAAAAGCATTTTCAAGTCACACTTATGTTTCGGTATGTAGGCCAAACGCAGATACAGAGACGCTAGAAAAATGTCACCTTTTTATAGACATCTGTTCTAAAATATCGAGGGCTTCAGTTTACTTTCTTTTTACCCTACAACAGTGCGTATGTTATATGAGATCTAATTTCTGCGAACGATCCGTTTGTTAATTCACCATGATCTGTTGATCCCTTCGGAAAAAATCTCGACAGACAATCGAACCGTTGTAAGTAGGGCATTTCCTATGAGCAGATCACTGGGCAAATTGGTTGTCGCTAGTGACGCAAGAGGCCAACGAATCCGGACAATGCAGGCTCACGACGGTTAGGTTGTTGATAACCACTGCAGTTAATGCCGGTTAAAAACGACTATCTCGTCTTACTGATTCCTTATGGGGTGTTCAGAAATATATGTATCGTAATTGAAGCCTGCAACGAGCACTGGTGTATAACATTGATTCGAAGAATTTCCCTGTGTCTGATTCTGCAATATCTGCTAGTGAACGTTAATTCAAGTCTACTTATATATGACTAGACGCGACTTTCAGTACACGCTGAAGAATACCTACAATTAAGCATGTCATATAAACATATACACACAATAGTAGAAACCCAACGCTAAAATAAAGGCTGGAGACACTTCATCTCGATCCTTGTTCATCATCACTCAGCTCCGAGTTTCGAGCTGTTTGCCAGTTATATAAATACCCGAAGATGACTCAAGCTTTTAATGGCGGCGGCTATCTGGCTAAATATAATTTCATCATTACAGTAGAAATAGACTTCACGTATATCATCGTCGTCGTATATCTTTACGTCCGTAACATATGAAAGGTCGTTGCAAAAGCGTAAAACAGATAGGTAACTTTCTGGTCGTTTGAAGCTGTACGGATTGTAAGAAATTATTGTAGCACCTACCCGATTGACGTCTCCTTTCTAATACGTAGTCGGGCCTTATAGGCCAAGCTATGTTAATTATTGCCTGTATACTATAGCCCCTATTGGCATCAAGCGGAAAGTGAATAATATTACGGTCACTGAATCGACCGGGCGCCAGTAACAGTTTGCGAAACTGCAAAAAAAACAGATAGAATTTCTCTAAAATTCCAATAATAACTATTTAATTTTTCTGTTTATTGCAGTTGTTTCTTTTCAGACGTTTCTAGTGCTGTAGGATAGATCATCGTGTGTAGTTCCACAGCGTACTTTAAGCCGTATTCAGCGCACCAGTAACATTGTGACCTCTGCAAATAACAACGGCCGTCTATCTTGGTTTTGGTATGGCATTCAGGTAGTCGGGCGTTAAGCATCTCCTCCTTGCACCTGAATAGAGAACTTCTGAAGTGGGAAGTACATCGTAAAGTTGGCGTGAGTATATAAGGAAGCTATATACATCATTGTCCTATAAAGTTCGCGCAACCTCAATAAGGTTTCAAGCACCTAAATGTAGCGTGTGCTTAGTTGCTGAGTTCTAGGAGTTTGTAGACAGACTCTGTTACACGCATGACCGAAAGGACGTCATCTGTATTGATTTGCATGAAGAATGTTAATCACCAGCGGATTCAGCCAAAAATATGGCGGACATGAACACGGCAAGCAGACACGCGATCAGACGACGCCGTTGATTAAAATCGCTTAATTAAATTTAAAAAAATGTTTAAAGACGATGCTTTGTTATCCAATGATCGATGGTCCCCTGATGTACGTACGTAATGAGATGATAACACAAGGAAGTTAAATACTGCGCCAGACCGTTACTCTAGCTTATTTTAGGTGCTTGCGTTTAGGTGAATAGAACAACATAAGATTGTTCATCTGAAGTCAGATAAATTTCACGAGTGAAGGACGCATAATGGAAGCTAAGAAGGAATCGTTGAAATAAAGTGCTTAGTTACTGCACATAAAAAATAAGACGAGACTTTTACGCGATGAAAGTTATTGTAATAACTACCGGTCCATCGGTCACATGGACAAGCCTAAATAGACACGTGGTAGGGTAAAAGGCCGAGCGAAATATATAAGCAAATAATAAAAAATGACAGATGGCATTCTAATCAGTAAATTCTAATTGAAAAACTACTCTACATTAAGTCTGTTAAAATCCATATCTGTAATCTATTATAAATTAAGTTATATTTGCATTCTGGCATCTGTGTGACGTAAGCGCCAGATCCAAG